CATTTTGCGCTGACGCCTGCCAATCAATATCCCATCAGACGCTACTGAGTGTAATGAACCTTGAGCCACTGTGCCCACACCAGCTCCATGACCCAGCCCAGTCAGCCCGTCCGTAAGCGCTCCCTCCTGCTCACAAATGAGGGTCCTGTGGTAGCGGCGGCAGGCGCCCACGATGTGCAGCGCCAGCGAGGTGGCGTACGTGCCAGCGCGCGCCGAGTTCTTGCTGTGCAACTGGCCCTCCACGTCCGGCAGCTCGCGCAGCATCTGCTGGCAGCAGTCCAGCAGCTCGCGGATGTTCACCGCCAGCTCCATTAGGTCGAAGAGGAAGGAGACGTGCTCCACCACCGGCAGGTAGCTGGAGTTGCCGGCCGCGAAGGCGCTCAGCATCTCGACCACCTGGAGCGCGCACTGGTGCGTCACCTGGTGCTGATCGTAGAAGGATAGCGCCTGGAAGCGCTGCACCACCGGCTCGAACGGAAACTCGCCGCGGCTCTGGCGTTTTACTTTGCCGCCCTCCGACACGTCGATCGAAAGTTTCTTGCCGAACAGCTTCATGATCTCCTTGTTCATCTTCTTGACGGCGTGGCGCGCCTCATCACGAGCCTTCTTCACGCCGAAGAGCAGGATGTGCCGCTGCTTGTCGTCGTCGGTGTAGGCATCGTCCTGTCGGGAGAGCTCTCATGTCACAAGACGCGTGGTAAACAGGATCTTGAGCATACCAGCAAATCAGGCCACGAGGTCGCACACCATGATAAATGCAGTTCGAAATGATTGCATCAGCGACCGCGGAGTGACATGCTTTTTGCACGAGTTGTGCTTTGTGCCATGGAACCTTACAACGCCAACACGATGAGTTAATTTCTTTCCACGCTTGATAAAAAATATGTTCGCGAAAGACGTGTCAACGGCATTGCTTGCATCGCCTGTAGGCACCCTGCGACTGAAGACAGCTGTAGGTGTGCTGCACCAAGTAGTTTTAATCCTCAAATCCACAGGCACATCTCAGCTCGATATAGTCTGGGGTCACCGCGCGCATCAGTCAGTGACATGAGACGTCCGATCCACGGATGCTCTACTCACCTGCGGCAGAGGGAAGTGGGTCGTGTAGATGAGGTGGCGGTTTTGGCGGCGGGCCTCCAGCTTCTCGGTGTGCCCGGTGCCCAGCGAGAAGCCCTCCTTCGGGCTGTCCGGATTGTCCATGTCAGCGTTGGTCGACTTGATGTGCTGCACCAGCTTGTCGAGGTCGTCGTCGATGTCGAGCTTGTCGTCGTCGGCGTCGTGGTGCTCGGAGCGCGTGAAGGCGGCGGCCGACTGGGCCGGACTGGCCGGGTTGGTGCGCAGTCGCCGCGTGAGATCAGCGCGCGCAGGTACTGGTCGTGCGAGAACACGTCGTGCCGCGTCAGCTCGAGGAACAGCAGCACCAGGCTGGCAAAGGACTGCCGACTGCGACCGCCCAGCCCATGGCGTCGTCCAGCACCGGCGCGCTCGTGTCCAGGAAGCGGAACAGCAGGCTCTGGTAGACGTAGGCCGGATAGGAGCCGGAACAGACCGACTCGCGGTCGTCGCCGTCGCCGTCGGCGGCCGTCAGCTCGGCCTGCCGCTTCTCCAGTAGCATGGCGACGGCCGGCGCGCGGTGCTCGCCCAGCCGCTGCGGCGAGACGGCCCATTCGCAGAGCAGTTGCACCAGCGCGTCGTCCGACGGCCGGCCGTCGGCGCCATCGCGGCCCGCCGGCGGGAACACGCGCGCGTACAGCGTGTCGAAGTTGTTGGTGTCGTCGGTGCGGTGCCACTTGTGCTGGTCGAGCGCGTCGAGCGCAGCCAGCACGCGGCCCACGGTCAGCTCTGTGGACGTCTGCACGGACCAGCGCAGGTCCGAGGCGCGACTCCGCTCCAGCACGTCGTCCTCTACGCGGCGCAGGCGCGTCCGCCACTCGCCGTTGCTGGCGCTCGGCGGCAGCGGCAGGCCGGACGGCAGGCAGGGCAGCAGGTCCAGCGGCGAGCCGCCCAGTGGCGAGCTGCTCAGCGGCGACACGACTTGCCGTCTCCCAGGTTGTTCCACACCAGCGCAGTCGGGTTCTTATACAAGATCATCTGCAGGACCGAGCCCAAGCCGTACACGATGCTCTCGTAGAAGTTGCAGTTGACAAGCCTGATGAAGGCAGCCACCAGCGGGTTGCTGTGCACGGGCTGGGCGGGCGGCGGCGGGGCGCCCGCCTCTTGGCCGCCCTGGCCGAACACCGGGCTCTGGCCTCGGCCACCCGACGCGTCCATCTCGGCCACCATCTGATTCAGCTTCTTGCAAGCGTAGTAGGCGAGCTTGCGCGCCAGCAGCTCGGAGCGCGTGAACTCGCCGACATACTGCAGCAGCAGCGGCACCACCAGCTTCAGCAGGCCGTCGTCGTGCGCGCGCGCGCGGAACACGTCCAGCACCCACTCAAGGAAAGGCTCACGGTCGAGCAGGCCCTGCTCGTACATGACGCCAGCCAGCTGCGTGCCGTACTGCCAGTGGCGGGCAGCCACCTTCTGCTCCTCAGTCGAGCTGCCGCTCATCGCCGGGAAGACGCCCACCTGCGGCGTCCACGAGTAGTGCTCCTCCAGCCGCGTCAGCTGCTCCTTCAGGAAGCGCTCCAGCGTCAGCGTCCACTCCTGCGTCTGGTCGGGCAGCTGGCGCTTCGACTTGTTCTTGGTCTCGGAGATGGCCACGTAATACGCTGAGGACATCTTGATGAGCCAGCAGGCGCGCACCGTCGGTACCGAGTAGTCGCACAGCTTGCTCAGGATTTCGTCCTTCTTGTTGAAGATGGGCACCTTTTTGGCCAGCATGGTTAGCGGCTTGTTACCGACCAGGTCCTTGAGCCAGACCTCGGCCGCCTTGGGCCGTGTCGGTACCGGCCAGTAGTTGTCCCGGTGCGAAATCTGCTGCTTCTTTTTGCCCGTCTCCGGCAGCGTATTGATTTCGTATTTCTTGGAGAGCACGGCGGAGAAGTTCTCCAACATCTGGGGAGGACGACGCCCGCCGTCTAGGTGTCGGACATGAAGCAGCGCGCGAGCATGTTGTCAAGTGGCATTGCAGGCTCGCCTTAAACCTAATAATTATGCCTAGCCTTATGCTATGACGAATCTTACACTAAGTGGAATCCCACTTTATCACACCATTACCAACGCTAGGTGCCATTGTTAGGAGCACTGCAAGTCGACAGTTATGTGATGCAGCATCTAAAACTAGTGTCTTACTAGCAGCACAGCCATATCATTTTCAATATAACAACTGATCTTGAAATAAACCAAATAATTTAAAACTAAGATCTAACAACACAGATGCGCACCAACTAATTGATTATAGCAAACATTTGACAAAACTTAATGGAGCTGCAAGTACACATCTGCACCATAGAGCAAAACATGGTGTAAATTGTCGTGTCGAGCACTGATAACTTCAGCTAACAACTGCCTTGTTGATTGGTTCATTGGCAAAGTTGATGGAGCTGCGGCAAAACGTCCACAGCATAAAATATAACGTGGTGTGTTATGCCACGCACGGGACTTCAACTGCACGCTGCTTACCTTGCTGGTGTTGATGTTGAGGCTTTTGGCTGAGCCATACTCATCGGGAGTGATGGGCGATGCATTGAAGCCTTGCTTGACACTGACTGCAGTGAGCTCATCCTGAAAAGTTATCAGAGCTGTTATTGTGCGTGCGTGCGTGCGTGCGTGTATATATATATATATATATATATATATATATATATATATATATATATGCCACAGCATTTCAAATTATTTGTGACCCAAAACTGATCTGTGATGTATGAAAAACAGTACACACAGGATCGCGCCAAATGTTGTATGAGAAGATATTTGTCCAGTGCGCATCGAGCTTGGCTTCCAAGTGTTTAGGGGCAACAATCCCGTGAGAAACAAAAAACGCTCTAGCCATTCTGTGTTCGCAAGCTGAGGGAGCCCCTTCTGATCCTTTTCGCAGCCTGACACTACTCAGTGTAGACTGTCGTGTAAGGTCATCGTTGGCGCGACGAAGTCGTCAGGGCCGGGAGCGATCTGCACGTTAGCAGGAACTGGTGCACAGAAGCCGTGTCGCCCAGGCACCGCGACAGTGTAGGGCAAGCAGGCCGCGCCTACAGGGCCACTCGCAGCCAGCACAACGTCCTGATATCCTGTACCAAACTGGTGGCTCGCCCATGGGAGGAAGTTTATTATTTTAGGGGGATACAGCTACATTCCTAACACCGCAGAATATCACCATCAGTATCTGGGCGGAAGATAAGACCTTTCGCAGCTCAGCTTTTGAGGTAGAGCTTAACTGACTGACTGGCCATGTACACCTGTGTGGGTGACGCTCAGTCACATGACTAGCCCACCTCGCTCGTTCAGTTCACTGCGGGCTGCTGCTGACCCCAGCAAGTCAGGCGGCCCACCTGCCCCAACCACTGCCGGCCGATGCTGACCCCAGGTAGTCACCTCTGGTCTGCACAGCTGGGTGGTCCCCACATGCTGATGCTGTGCTCTGTGGCTGGTCGCGGTATGACCTCAAACATGCGAGGAAGGGGAGTCACGCTCATATGTTGGGTTGGTCCATGCACACCAGCCTTGATCTGGGATGTCTGGACACTGCTGACACTGTCACTCATTTGTAGACCTCCCATTTCACCCATATGTGGATCCCTGATACTGCTCCAAATACATCAGCTCCCATGCAGAGACAACAACCTGGTACATGTATTTGATAGCTCTTTCAATGTGCTTCATTTCCCATGCACCTGAATACTTTTTGACATGCGCCTGGCTTTCCCGTCAGATACCGTTTACCCGGGTGGGGTGGGGTCAATTTGACTTTGTTGAGATCTCATGCACCAGGAGAGCTAGAGACACAAAATACATAGGACGTGTTGGCATGCACATCAATCACCAGTCAAAATGTGAGATTTCTAGGTCATGACCTTTGCATCAAACACAGTCAAACAAGGTCAAACTCCACATTAGTCTCCCTGGTGCCCCAGAACCTAGACACCAGTTCTAAGAAAATGTTCAAATGCTCATTAAAGGCCACTGACCTTGTTTGACCCTTTGAAGGTCACAGCGACCAAATTCATACAGACTGCTTTGAGTTTTGCATTTTAATAATCTACAAAGATTGTGCTAGGTAGTGTGCTCATGAAAAACAAAATGTTTACCTGGGTCATTCTAGGTCAGGTCCGTGACCTATTCTGACCTTTAATAAGCCCATAGCAGATGCATAATGTGATGCTTGTTATCAATCAATTCAAAATGATCACCAAATACTACCCCATACTGGGAGCCCTGCAGTAACATAACAGGTTGGTTTTGGCCTTTGTCTGACCTTCATACCTGGGTCAGGGTATGCATTGCTACCTCATGTTAAAAAAGCATTGTACATCAATCGTCGTTTTTTAGGGCAGAACATATGGTAACTAATCGTAAAACAGGTCATCTAAACTCTTACCTTGGAACTTCAATAACTACGACAGCGAACATCCGAGCGCCGCAAACATGCAGCAACCGCGACCCCGGCACCATTGTTATGATCACAACATTACTGCGTGATCACAGCATTACTGCATGATCACAACATTGCTGTGCATCAAGAACCATAAAAATTACGAGGCCAAGGTAAAAAGAATTCAATAAAATATGTTTCTTGCGCATCCAGGCAGCCTTCCATATTGTTTGTAGATTGGTCGACATGGTGGGGAAATATGACGTTTTTGGGTGGGAATGAAAAGCAAAATGAGAATATGGCAGCTAAACAAAACTTCTTAATATGGTACACATATATGGCATGGAAGATAGATGCCAATGGGACACTGGGTTAAGGGGATAGGGTGGGGGTTAGGTTAGGTTAGGTTAGGTTAGGTTAGGTTAGGTTAGGTTAGGTTAGGTTAGGTTAGGTTAGGTTAGATTGTGTAAGGTTAGGTTAGGTTGTTAGGGTAGACTAGGCTAGGCTAGGCTGGGTTAAGTTAGGCTAGGTTAGGCTAGGTTAGGCTAGGCTAGGTTAGGTTAGATCAAGTTAGGTTAGGTTAGGTTGGGTTAGGCTAGTTTAGGCTATGTTCTGGACTATTCTGGCCTGTCCATTTCATAAACATACCTAGACACAATAAAAACCATTTTTCATTGCATTATTATTGTTACCTTGGCCCCTACATTTTTCATAGTTCTTGATGAGCAGAAATATTGTACTTACACAATGGCAACACAGAAACAGCGCTGGGGAGTTGAGGCAGTGGGGTGCATGCGGCGCTCCTGAGCTCGCTATCGTAGTTAATAAAATTTGAAAGTAGGAGTATGAATCTACCTGTTTTATGATTATTTACTATATGTTCTGCCTTAAATATGACAAATAATGTACAATGCTTTTCTAACATTAGGTACCAATGCATACCTGCACTGAAGGTTTGTCTAATACTTCAATGTTGCATCACGTTGAAGTTTCCTAGAAATTGACTTTGCTGAGTCCATGGCCTGACTTTGACCTGCTGAAGGTCAGCAAACTTACAAGGTATATCAAAATTTTGATACCAAATAATCTGATTTTCAATTGCCTAAAGCTATGTAAAATTTTGACCTGCTGTGCCATGCTGTTTAGAAATCATTCTGGAAAAATTTGAGACGGTTATTATGCCGTCCCTCCCAACGTCATGTTAGGATGCAATTGAGGAAATAACTATTTCCCCACAGTGTAACAGGTCAGAGGGATTCAAGCAGCCTCCTTAAACGTTCTGATCATGTGTGTTACAAATGGCCTCCAAACTGTGTTTATACAGCATCTGTCTTTTGTATGCTACAAATTTATCTTGCAATAAAAAGTCCTCCCTCTCCCCCTCCCCCTCCCCCTCACTTCATAACAAACAGCACTGCTTGTTATGCACAAACAAGAAACATTTCCTAACCCTTAACATTGCAATAATGAAAAAAAGGGTTTCCTGGTGCATTTTGTACTTATTGACCCAAACTAGCTAGAACAAACAAGCTGTTATTATCTGACTGGTTGACTGACCAATGGTGAAGACTTATCATCTGTGAAAGCCAGCACCCAGAAAACAGCCTAATCCATAATGCCTCTGCAGCCTCCTTTTAAAGAATATTTCGAAAATCATGGGTTAAGGCTATGAGCTATTCTTTCCCTCTTGTCTTCCATAACATTTCAAACCCATCATTCAGGTCTCACCTCTTTTTGCTTTGGCTCTTGGGGATACACATCAGGCGGTCCGAGTCTCGACTTGCGCAGCGGCTTGTCTTCACAATTGATAACAAATGCCATCTGATGTTTTCTATTTTATACTAAGTAGTACGCTTTCCAAGGCTCAACAATACATTGCCCGTCCGTGGGCACAAACATAACGGTAAACGTAATGTCAAAGTCCGTCAAAAAATCATTTTTCCCGCAACAGGTTTCCAAGTTGATCACCAGCAAGCCTCTTTATCAAATGCTAATCACATTCTTCCATTTTCTTGACTAACAGACCACCCAATCACCGACCATAAAAACTGTCAATGAGTTGTTTTGCATACAGATCTCTAAAGCTTGCTCACGATTAAGTGTGCTCTGTATGTGCGCCACTTAGACGATCATTGTCAGCTGTTGTCAAGGTTTTTACCATTCCTATATTGACCCCATTTTGATGACGTTTCATTAATAAGTTGAAGATTATTACAGAAGAAATAGATGGTTTTAGGTAGAAATATTTATATAAAGCTAGATAAAACTTAAAATAACGTCTATGTTGTACTGTTTTTTTACATAATGTTCTTTTTATGTAAATAAATATTAATACGCCAAAAATATCATTGTAGTCTTGCCATGTTGTTCTCACGGTTCCACTGCTACCATATATTGTCCTACGCAAGAAAAAATATCATGCACTTCGTGAAGGAAAAGTAGGGGAAGAAAATATGATTCGGCATTTTTCCACTTTTTTGTATACTAAAGTATAACTGAACCGAATATTTTCATTTTATATCGCAATGAAACCACAAAAGCTAAAAAATAAACCCTAATACTCAATTTATTTTTGGGACAGGTGAAACATTTGACCGTCACAGCATCATCAAGAACGTGGCGATCTGGCAGCTACTGGGATAAGGAAAACCCAGAGACATTGGGTGCTGCGTTTTCGCCGGTGTTTGTTTTGGGTGTGGACTTGGGGTTGCGCGAATTCTCCGGCTGAGTTTTAGGGTGGAGAAGTAAGGTATTGAGTGCACTTGACCAGGCAGCAAGGTAGACGGAGTGTTCATCTGCTGAAATCGGCTGGCAATAATTTGGATGGTAAAGGGCAGGGGAAGGCCTCAAAAGTGTTCTGTTTTCCAAGTGTTTCATCTGCTCCGCCCATCCCTGACAGTTGCGTCTGCTCGCTCATATCACTATTAAGATATTGCTCCGAGTTCATTAGACAACACCTGAAGCATGTCTACTTCCGGTGACTTCGGGAACCCCCTTCGGAAATTCAAGCTTGTCTTTCTTGGTGAACAGAGCGGTAAGTACTGCAGTTGAGATTGAAGCATGGATATGGAATGCATCTGAACACTTGATTAGTCATCAAGAACCATGTTTTGCCTTTAAATGTGTGTTTGCCACATATCATTCTGGCAAAGTGCTTGTGCTCTCTATTTTTTATTTATAGCATTACCTTACAGCCAGTCTAAGACAATTTAATGGGTCAGGGTGTACTTTCCTACCTAACGTTAGAAAAAATCATTGTACACCATTCGTCGTGTTAAAGGCAGGACATATTGTAAATAATAAATTCCAAATTTTCAAACAATTTCTGAAAATAAATATTTTCTGAGTAAGGTCCAATCAGCAATAAGTTTATCTGCTACCCTAAAGGAATACCAAACATTAATGCACACTGAAGCTTGAGGAGTTATGGTAAATGTCCTTAAGAATATTGGTTTTTCGTGCATTGACATTGCTTCACACCATGCACCAAATTCTGAGGTCCTGTATTCACAATGCAGATGTGCCAAAATTGTCACCACAATTTTCTGTTATGCCAACATGTTTGGCATGACATTTATTTTTGCAGCCCAACTTAAAATTACCTTTGCAGCATTGTAATGCCTTGAAATACTAGCTGCCCATGCTGAAATTGGTGGTGGTGTTGCATTGAACTCTTCTCTAATATGTGCTCAGGTTTATGACATACATGCACTGAAATTGTTGCTGCGATGTCACCATTGTGCCTTGTATATTCAGGCATGTTTTTGCACATATTTTTATGCATCATTTCTTTGAATATATGCTTCATGTCCTATAGCTCATTTTGTTTCCAGTCTCACCTTTAGGTAGGACCCATGTGCAGCACAGTGTGTTACAAGTCAATCCACTATGTAAGATACTTTAATTATGTGGTGCACTGAACTTGAAACATTTGGTGACCAAACTGTGGCCAAGGTCAACTTTTGCTTAATTTCCCAAGTATGTATGCTGTCAGGTTTACAATTACACCCATGTTTCTCCAAGTTATAGTTGTTTGGCTTGCTACACATCAAGATCAGTATTATTTTGATTAATGCAGGAACAAGCATAAAACTGAAGAATGTATTGCTCTACATTAGTGAATGTCATGTTAAGATTTTAGAGCTATTTGAAATGGCACTGCATTATAGAAGCATTTATTATGCAAGTTATGACTACAAATATGCCATATAAACCAACAAGCTTGAATATATTTCCAAGCTGCAACTGAAGTGGTAATGTCATCCAGTTGATTCATTTCTCAATGCAGTAGATTAGGAAATGATATTTATTTAACAACATCAGGCTAGTGTAGCTCATTTGTGTTAATATTGTCAAGAATGCAACAATTTGCAGTTCTGTGGTGTTCCATTTGCTGCCCATGTGAGCAGCTGAATGGAAATATCAGATTTGAGA